TGTAACCTTTCGGCTTGCTATAAAGAGACACTGCTGCCGTGATGCCCTGGCCACCCTCGACCTTGCCCCCTTGTGTGTCCACGTCGCCATTGGCTGCCAACACATGTGATGATGAGTTTTGGCGTGCAATGGGCGTGTTGATGGGAGTGTTGATAGGCCTGATGGCACGCTTGCTATGTTTGCTTTTGTGTGTGCCCCCACTTCCCCCGCCCCCAGAGGCGTTGAGGCCATCACTAGAGGACTCCTCACTCACCGACTGTGAGAACGAGTCCCCGCCGAAGCTGTTGGAGAGGCCCTCGACGCTTTTGCTCTTCCTGGGGGCGGCCCGCGAGGACGAGGTCGAGCTCGAGCTGCCCTGCTGGAGAGTGTCCAGCTTGTCGCTGATCTTCTTCCTCAAAGTCTGCAGGATCCCGCCGGCTCTCGACTTTTTCTTCTTGTCGGCGTCGTGCTGCGAGGAGGAAGAGGCAGAAGAGGAAGAGGTCGAGGAGGTGGTGGTGGCGAGGGTCGTGGTGGCCGAGGACGACCCCAGGACCACCTCGCCGTTGGCACTCCCGCACCTGCTACTCCCATGGCGAGGCGACCGGCTCAGCGCTATGCTCACCTTTTTCATCATCTTCTCTCGAGATAGCCTTCGGGCGTGGGTTCACCGCAAGACATGGCCAAAGGACGCGGTCACGGGCTAGGCTACACGTCCACTCTCATCTGACGCTTTGCAACTCTGCCATCTTGGGCTCTTGGCTCGGGCTCTTGTAATCAAAGACTCTTGTTTACCGAATGCGCTGATTGGCCGAGAGGCGCGAGTGCCGATTGGCTGAGTATCCGTGACGTCATGCTCGTTTTCTTTGATGAAGAGGAAAATGCGTAAATTTAGGAGTAACAAATGTAATTAGATCCTCCGTCCATATATTACGTTAAAGTTGTAGTCTGGCCACGTTTGTAATGTTATGCGTTATACGCATGAAGCTAGATACTATACCAATTATTCTGATATTAGGTATTCTCTGTCTCTTATCAGATTATTTTAGATTTTTGTTTACTAATAATAAAAAGAGCATAAAAAAGGAATTAAAACAATAGTATACGGAATACACACACATACACACACATACACACACACACACACACACACACACACACCACACACACACACACACACACACACACACGCACAAACACACACACACACACACACACACACACACACACACACACACACACACACACACACACACACACACACACACACACATATATATATATATATATATATATATATATATATATATATATATATATATATATACACGACAGTATAAGACTGCAAAAACATACATTGCGTGTGCGTTGCACCCTCGTGACATATAATAACTAGATGATAAATGCAGTAGTAATAACAAGAGGAAATTATTACAAGGTCAGCCATGCCAAGACAATGGCCAAGTGGCGAGGGCTCATCTAAAAAAAATCATCTATTGTGGACATATTCGCCTTCAATCCAGTTAGTTCTGTTGATGTTTTCTTGTGGGTCTCCAATATTACATGCATATATAGCAGGTATATTGGTCCTGAGTGTGTGTTTGTTATATGAAGAAAAAAAATCGCAAAGACGCTAATAATAGTTAACTGCCACCTCTGACAGAAAATGAAACTGAGGTTTTACAAATAGGTGTGATATCTAAATTTACAAAACAGAATATAATGTGAACGATTTTGCCCAATGGTTGCTAACAGTTGACATACACAAATCTGATAGATTTCAGAAAAGCTTCAAAATTAATTGCAAAACGTCCGAACTTGACTCAACCCTTGCCACTTTATTCATTGCATCATTTGCGACGAAGTAATTAATAAATCAGCCAAGACTTTCGCTGTATAACCTGAAAGATCTAAGGAGAGTATGGCTGCCCACCATCTGATCTATCAACTTGGCCATTTTGATTTAAGGAAAAACATTCAATTTTGCAATTTACCGACCAGTCGTAACAGTGACGTCATAGCTTACCGTTGCGTCATAGTTCCTTCCCTTTTTTTGCCGAATAGCAGGGTCGCCAACCTTTCCGAGGTTGCCTGGGACATCCATCTTTATCATTAGGAAATTATTCATCTTGCCAACCTTTAAGTCAAAATTTATATCCTTCAAAACTCTCCTTGTTGAAGTAGTCATAAGGTTTATATCCCACTGAATATCGTTGGTAAAAATAACAATAACAAAAAAAAAAGTCAGAAAGACGTTCGTGCGAGGCGGAAGGGTTGACAAGGGAACAGGGAGGAGCGAGCAGCAAAACATGATTTCCACCCGGCATCTCTTAATTAGGGCTTTTAGCATTGCCAGGCACTCAGGTGAGATTGCAAAGGTGTCTTCGAATCTGTAGGTGATTCCAGATTCGCAAGATAGCCGCTTTGTTGTAAGATTTATTTGTTTCGCGCCGTAATTTGGGATAGAGTGGCCTACCTCTGAAAGTAAACATTGGGTGTGGAAGAGAGCAGGTACTGATACTAAGCTTTATATTTCCTATTTCTGTTCTTCTTAAAGTGCATTCATTCATGACAGGAAAAGATTTATGATCAAAACATTGTTTCTCTAGAATTAGTTACAAATTTGAATGACAATTGCATTAAATGAAGATATTTCAAATTACACAACAGCGGTTACATAATATATATTTTTCATTATGATTTTAGACTATGCTGATAATAGTCACAAGAAACTTTCAGAACAATACTTTTTCATTCATATTGGTTGTTGTTTCCAAATCAAGTGATTGTCAAAGCTTCTGCATTATAGGCCTTGGCAAAAGTCAACAAACCTTTTCCATGTGAAAGAGGGAAAGGAAAAGTTTGCGCTGGTTCTTTATTTGATGGAAAGCTACCAGGGAGAACCAGAAGCTCTTTTGCCAGCATGATACATGTGTTTGAGGTTTGTTGGCAGCTGCTTGAGTGTCAGTAATCAGGAATATTTATACAGTAGAAAGTGAGAGGAATCTTTCAATGTCAGTATCATCATGATCAGTCATTTGATGGTATTCTGACTATCTGACTAAATTTTTGTTGATAACTGTTTTTAAAATGTTTCACTTCTTTGTCTATTATTCATTTGCGTTTTCTTACATGTGAATCAGCTGTTTTATTATTTTGACAGACAGTTGAGGACAAAGATAATCACTCATCCATTGGTAGCCTCTGTCTCACATAGGTGCCTTTACTGCACAGAGAGTCATAGTTTGGTAAGGAAAGGGGAAGGGAGCAAGTTATGTGAAGTCTTGGTCATATAATTTGGTTTTTGGCATATGTTTACATATCAACTGTGCTAAGACAGGGAAGATTTAAAGGCACTGTCATAAAAATATGAAAATTAAATCAATACTCACTGATATACAAAATAATCTGTGCAGGCAAAGAATAATATCAGAATTTAAGAAAATAGTTCACAAGAAATGCTGCTGGGAGACACAGTCGCCATACACCTCATACAACTATGTCCACCTTTCCTTGCCTTGTAGCAAACAACTTAGTTGCCTGGTATCTCATCATAAACTGTCATGGTACATATAGCTCATGATGTAAAGGCCAGTCATTGTCAGTCTCTTTAGAAATGCTCTTTACTTAGAATGAAATTCTGTATTTTGTTTTATATAGGGTTATACTTATATATGTATTAGGTATTTAAACTTATACACTCTTTTTTTATGAAAGTATGTATATGCATCATATATTTGCATTTCTTTATATATATATACATGAGGTTGGCTGAAAATTCACCAGTGCCACTTTTAGAATTTATTTATTAATATTTTTTATTTTCTTTATTTTCCTTATTTCCTTTTATTTTATTCCTTTTCTTTTTTGTTTTTATTTTCCTTTTCTACATGTCAGCATTTTTCTTTTCTTTTCTTTTCCCCCCATTGATTTTTTTTTATTGTTGTGTTGTTGTTAACCCCTTGGAGCTGAAAACCGTGGGCAATGGGTTAACTAAGTGGCCAGCATCCCGGGCGTGCGGCATGTAGGCCGGGAGGGCACGAACCCTTGAGCAATGATAAGACTCTGTGCCTCCCCCTTGAAAAGTTATTTTGTGTAAACTTTTTTAGCTTTATCGTCATTTTCCAATGTTCATATTTGTCTTCTGATTTGCTTTATCCAGATGGTGATTACTTATTTTCCGTGCACAGACTCCATATCATCTATGTAGTAAATAGCTCAGAGCAAGAAGAAAAAAAAAAATGGTTATTTGTGTCATATATCTCTTTTTTATTTTTGTAATTTTCAATTTTACGTAATACAATATGCACTGCCTCCAGCGGCCAGTCACTGCTTATGCACATTACATTCCACATTCATTTATCGGTGGGAGTAAAGTTTAAGCCCCCTTTAAGTGCCAAATGAGTCAAATCACACTCCAAGAGGTTTGTGCACTCATGGCGAGTCTTTCCCGTCACCCTGATGCTCTTGATGGTTTGTTCGCGACACCCGGGGTGCAGTCCATTTGCTCGGTTGATGGCATCTTCACGTCACCCGGGCAGCTGCCAAAGTTTTTCCTTGACGTGACCACAATGTCATCCGGGTCCAAGGGGTTAATATTACTATCGTTTTTGATACCACCATCATCATCAACATGGCCGATCATCATTATCATTATTTTTATTATTGTTCATATGATTATTACTTTTATTATGGTTGATATTTTCATTAGTAGTTGTGTTACTATTTTATTATTATTATTATTATTATTTTTATTATTATTATTATTATTATTGTCATTATCATTAGTAAAGCCATAACCATTCAGTTTACGGGGTAAATAGGTGGGGACTTGTAGCCATAGTAACTAATAGTCCTCTGCTCTCCGAAAATTATTAAACAAAAGCTCAATGGATATTGATGTCTGGCATCAATAGGCTAACATACTTTGTTTATCTCTTGTCTAGAATTGAATATTTTTCATTTTAATTAATGGTCAACTTGTGTGTGTGGGGTTGAGTGTTTGTGTTAATAGTTCCAGAGGTTTTAACAAATACAATTTTATGAGAGTGGTAACAAAATTTGTTTGTGAGAGGAACTCGGGGACAATTACTGTATTGCAATGGTTACAAAAGGAAAAACTTTATATTTATTGGAAACCTTCTTCTTTATCATCCTCTTTCTGCTTTACCCCCCACACCTTTCTCTCTTCTCTCTCTCTCTCTCTCTCTCTCTCTCTCTCTCTCTCTCTCTCTCTCTCTCTCTCTCTCTCTCTCTCTCTCTCTCTCTCTCTCTCCTCTCTCTCTCTCTCTCTCTCTCTCTCTCTCTTTTGTTCTTAGTATGTTTTCGCCTTCTTTTCATATTTTGAATGTTTCATTTTCCCTGCATGTTCTTGTACAGAAATTGGATCAGTATTTTTATGATGAAAAAGAATGGCCTAAAACTTTGATCAATTGACCGATTTTAAGCCATGACTATGATTATCAAGAGGAATGGATATCAGACTTTAATTATGCTTCAAGAGAATAAAGCGGATCATGAAACTGAAGACTACTTTCCCACTTGTTTGCAGACTGAAATCGAGATTGTCAAGGAGCTGGTCCAGATACTGCAAGCAGATAAAGAGGGAAAGTTTGTACTTGAAGGAGAGCTCAACAAGAGCTAAATAGATGTACAAGCACATTGCAGCTTTCTTGATATATATTTAAGATCATGGATTCAAGCGCAGAAGTTGGAGGTGAACACCCAGACAGAGAGATGAAAGCTGAGGTAGCAGAAGCAGGTATTGAGCAAAAGGCTTCA